CAAGCCTGTCATGTTATGGTGGAATGGGAAGGGTCCCAGAGCAGAGCCCTGGGGTACTTAAGAACTCATTAATTCAAACCACGAAACTGTGATGTTTTCCGCACACACATCATTAATGTTTTTTTTACCTTTTATTCCTTTTCACACATATTTAAATTACAAAGGGAAATTATCACTCAATATTATCAATTGTCCATTAATTTTTTTTTTTTTGTGGTTCCTTGCACAATACTGTGTTATGACCTGAAATCATTGTGCCATAGTGCATAATTTGTGACTAGCTTCATATGTAAGCATGGGTTTGCTGATGTGGTAAACTCGCTTGGTAGCTCACCTGGTACATCGTTGCACTTCAGCACCTGAGTCATTTGAAACATGAGTCAAGCTAAACAGTCCAAACACTCGTAAAAGCAGGCTAAAATGTGGAAAATATGTTTTTATCTCTATTGGTTAGGTTTAGGGTAGGGTTTAGTGTAGGTGGTACTTTATATTCCAAATGCATTAGATTTTTCAGTTTCCAAAATGCCACAATACGTACATCAACAACAATAATAAAACATTTCAAGATTTATGTTCATCTGTTTCACAAAAAACCTGAACACTTTTTCAGCACCACTTGACCATTTCACTTTGAAGGTGTTGCAAAATGTGCAAGAAGCAACATATGTCTGTTGCTTATTTGTTGAAAGGCATTGTGCTTCAAAGTGAATATGCAACTCATAAAGTGTTTTGAGCAGTTTGGTTCACAATAAACAATTTCCAGGTGCTCTGAGTTTGAATTGCTTATTAAGCGCACATTTGAGACATTTTTGTGGACAGAAAGTTACAGCATTTCAACAGCTTTACAATGAGAAATGTATCAATGTTCTTATCAAGCTAGGCAGAAGATTTTTTCAGTTTTCTGCCTAAAAGCTGTCTGGTTTATTGTTGACTAAATGGAAGTATGGAGCATCCAACAGGAAGTCTCTCTCACTGCAGTGGTTTCACCCATGGAGAAGTGAGGGAAAAGGTGGATAATGAACTTTTCCCAGGAAGACAGAACACAAGAAACATGGAGTGGCATATTTATCAGATCTGAGCCAGCTGATAAGGCATCTTAGTTGTCTCTATGGGTTGCCAGATACTATCATACCCTTAGTCTTACTTAACTCTCTTCAATGGACAAGTTTATAAACAAGAATTGTCTTTGCCAGCATGTCTTTATCCATCTCAATGTAATCTCTGCGCCATGACTAAAAACAACAGTGGTAACTGTCTAGGATCGCTTGCTGGTACAGATGCATATCTGTTTGTCATCAACCTTCTGGCTTTCCTTCCACACAGGAGCCATTCTCACACACACACACACACATTCAGTAACCAGCTATAGCATATTTATGATGAGCTATATTAACATTTTTGATTGTTTCATATTGTGAAAAAAAAAACTTTTCTAAATGAAAGGTTGTTTTATACCTAATTTTGGTTAATAAATTGTTTACATTTAGTCATTAATTAGTGGCATAAATGTGTTCAAATACATAGTGTCTTCATTGTGAAAATTGTAGATATGGCAGGTTGACCTCTTGAACCCTTTATTCAGCCACTAAAATTGGGTCCACAAAACTTCCATATATTTGTACACTACTGTTCAAGATGTGTGTGTGAGTGTGTGTTAAAAGAAATTAATATTTTATTCAGCAAGGATGCTTTAAATTGATCTAAAGTAATAGTAAAGACATTTACAATGCATTGTTATAAAAAAAAAACGGCACGTGGCCTTTGAGATTTTAGAGCCAACTTTAAAAAAACTAAAAATCTTTCTTTGAAAATTAATTCTGCATGACTGTGGTTTTTCATTATAGTGTCAGTAGTCATAAATCTAAATTTGGTGGCTCCATTTGATTTACACCCAAATTAAAAGGTATTGTGCTCTTTTTAAAAATAGTTTTTATCCTCCTTTTGACATATCTTGTCTTGCCCAGGACACCAAAGTGGCTTTCACTTGTGGATTCTCAAAGGTGCACGATGCCCCTGCTCTTCACCACTATCCGGCAAATAGGCTCCATGGCTCCAGGTTGCTGATGCTTTTTCAAGAGTGTTATGTTATTTTGGAGCTCAAGTCTGATGACGACAGATTCATCAGTGAAGTGCTATATTTCAACAGCTCTTGTTCTTCTGAAGATGTAAAAAGGACCACTGACTACTGACATCCCACGAAGAACTATATAAAAAAAATCTGTTTATTCTGACAGCACAGATATATAGTCTCTCCATATTTGGCTACATCCCTCAGGGAATAAAGTATTTTCTTGCCTGTCTTTGGCATTGGCTGGGGTTTGTTTTGGGCTTGAAATGTTATATTTCAAAATGGTTTGGGGTATTCTTAGAGTATATAATTTGTGTAGAATGTGCCCATGGGTAAGTGGTGACCACACTGATGGGTCGAACGGTCTGCCAGCTGTTTCATGTCTGTTCTTTTCTAACCAACAGCAAATTTGAGCTCTTCAAGATAGTGGTTTCTAATCTAACTCATCTTAAGTGATACTTAACATTGTACATAATGAAAACCCACTTCCTTTTTTCAATTTCTGCTTTGAATAAGGTACTTAGATAAAGAGAAAAGGAAGTTTGTATTATTCTCTCGCATAGTGTGCCTAAATACATTCAGCCAAAACTCAGTATTTGAATATATTGTTCTTCACTGAGCAAGTTCAAGAACTGTCTTACAGCTTTTCTCAAGGGTGTTTACCTATTCTGGACTTTCTCTACTTTGTGTAGTAGTTCTTTCTCTCTCCCGTTAAATGTGCTTTTGTTTTTGCTCAGCTGGCATCAATCAACTCTTGTACTCGCACTCACAAAAGCTCCTTCACTGAAGGTCTATTTATATTGGCTGTTGAGACCTTTTTATCAATACACACTGATCTTTAATAGCAGATGTCTCTCTCAGACACAGTTTCAGTGTGTTTTTTTGTGCTCTGTGCCTTGTGGTTTCAGGCGAAGTATGATTGACTGTACAGGTGTGGTGTGCTCTCAGAGAGCATAACTTTATCAGGCCTGTGTGATGGGCTTTTTTAAATGTTTTTTTTGCTAACCTTTTTGCTATCGTTTATATTGTGGAGCACTGTTTCTTGTGATTTTTTTCCCCCCTTTTGCCTTGTTCTGTTTATCTTTGCTCATTTCTCTCTTTCAACAGCCTCACATATCCCACTTTTCATTGAACTGTATTAAAAAAAGATAGAAAGAAAGGCAAACCAGCATTAAGCAAAACACTATTGGTCAACTCTACCCGCAATCAAGGCTTGCTTCATTTTTCAATTTGCTCATGACAAGAGACATCTTAGGGTGAATTCTACAGACTATATCCAAGACATATTTAACTCCACAATCTAAATAATTATATATATATATATATATTTTTTTTTTTTGCATTAAGACAGTAAAGTCTTTGCATTATGACATTATTTTTTACGATGATTACACATTCTCATTCTCGTGACTTCTAAATAGTGCTAAATACTGCTACAATAATGATAATCTAATGAGAATTACCTCTGAGAATAAAGGCAATTTCAAAGAAACTCTTGCAAACTCTTTTTTTATTAAAGATAAGAGATGGAGCATAATGCATACTCTAATTGTCATCAAAATAATACTGCAATGCATCTTAAAAGCCCTAAAAATAAGCTTAGTTTTCTTTTTGCTAAATATAATTTTTGTTTATTTTATATATTTATGTTAAAGGGTTAGTTCACCCAAAAATGAAAATTAGCCCATAAGTTACTCACCCTCAATGCATCCTAGGTGTATATGACTTTCTTCTTTCAGACGAATCCAGTCGGAGTTATATAAAAAATTGTCTTTGATCTTTCAAGCTGTTTAATGCCAGTCAGCGGGTGTTGCATTGCTTCAGTCCAAAAGTAGTGAAATAAAAAGCGCCCATCCATAAAAAAAAGTGTCACACGGCTCCGGGGGCTGAACAAAGGCCTCCTGTAGTGAATCAATGCGTTTTTGTAAGAAAAAATATCCATATTCAAAACGTAATAATCACTGTAATGTAGCTTGTGCCAACAGTTGTACACGGAAGCAGCTCCGGGAGGATGACCTCTGAGGTCAGCGTTGCGCATGCGCTGGTGAGTCTCATGAAAACCGTTTGTTAACAGGAGCAAAGGAAGCAAAGTTTCCTTACTTTAGCAAAGGAAAACCAGTCTCCTCTTGGCTTATATCGAAATCCTCCGACATTCTTCTTTACAAATCCTCGTTTTGTACTTCTAATCTCTCCGCTGCGTTTCCACGTGCATCACTTCTGAGCGGCGCATGCGCATGCACAACGCCGGCGTCCTACGTCATCCTCCCGGAGCTGCTTCTGTGTACAATAGTGAGCGCAAGCTAGATTAAATTTATTATTACGTTTTAAATATGGTTATTATTCTTACAAAATAACCATATTTTCCAATATGCCAAACGCATCAATTCGCTACAGAAGGACTTTGTTCACCCACCAGAGCCGTGTCAGAAACTTTTTTTTATGGATGGATGTCTTTTATTTCACATCTTTTGGACTGAAGCAACGCAACACCCGCTGACTGGCATTAAACAGCTTGAAAGTTCAAAGCCAATTTTTTATATAACTCCGACTGGATTCGTCTGAAAGAAGAAAGTCATATACACATAGGATGCATTGAGGGTGAGTAATTTATGGGCTAATTTTTATTTTGGGGTGAACTAACCCTTTAATTGTGAACTTTGTAAAGATAGGACATCTGTGCAGTTAGTTGTAGGACCATGTGATATTTCAGTTTTTCTTTTTTAATAAATCTGCAAAAATGTCAACAATTCTGTGTTTTTCTGTCAATATGGGGTGCTGTGTGTACATTAATGAGGAAAAAAAAAGAACTTAAATGATTTTAGCAAATGGCTGCAATATAACAAAGAGTGAAAAATTTAAGGGGGTCTGAATACTTTCCGTACCCACTGTATGTTTGAAACTCCCTCTTTCTGTCTGTCTGTCTCTGTGTAAGGTTATAGCATTAGCAGATGCAGCAGAAGACAACCGGGAGCGTTTGATCCAAGCTTTTACACGTTTGCGGAGCGCCACTCACCTCCTCATCCTGCTGCTGTCTCTGTGGCAAGGGCTTGGCTCAGAGCAGACTGCCATCCTGGAGGCCACGCTCCTACCGCTGCTGCAGGACACACCGCAACTTGTGAGAGAACACACACACACACATCTAGCCTTTGACATTAGACACCTCCTTGAATTAGCAGCCTGTGTCTGGCTGATCTAGAGAATCTGTCTCCAGGTGTTGAGTGACATGGCTGTTGAAGCACAAAAAGCTGTAATACAAATGTGTCACATAAACACACAGTGAGCATTACTGTGACCCCATTACACATTTTACTCCACACAATTTTCTCCAACTTTGTTCCCTTCAGTGTTTTTCAGCTTTTAAAATTTGAATACATTTAATTTAATTTGTTAATTGAAATACAATAAAATATCAGTATTAGAATAAAAACACTGCAAAAACACAGAAATATAGAGAAAACCATACCATGAATGTGCACAAATGCATGAGTGTCACCCTGATGGAGTCAAGTTTCTCTAGGTGGACTCACCCCTGCTTACAGCTTGTTTCTTTAAACCAAAATTGTCTCTCTCAGCCAGTGGAATTCCTCCAATGCTTTATCTCACTTTCAAAGGCTCCAGTAATGTCGGATGTGCTTTCTGATATGGTGAAAACAGACTCCAGTAGCATTGTGTTGTTCCTGATATCAGAATATTTGTAAATTAATTTGTGCTGTGGACACACGTGATAGAAAAGATGTGCTATTACTGTTTTATGTTTGAACTTGAGTCCTCACCACTTTTTGAAAGTTACTGATAGCTTGTAATAGCACGTAAAACAGATAAGCATCTCTAATCTGTCATGCTTCATAATTTTATTTATATAGGTAACACACACACACACACACACACAAAAAACATTTACACTAGATAATGAGGGATTGATATATAAACGTTGCCACACACATAATGGGAAGTGTTAAAAAAGTTAAACTGTGTTATGTGCACACAGTCCACACACCGCAGTGCATTCACACTCTTTTATCAAAGTGATGAGGTAAACAGTGCTTTCAATTTACAAACATTTCAATTAAATTTGCTATTATATATATATATATATATATATATATACAGTATATATACAGTATATATTAGGGCTGTCAATAGATTAAAATGTTTAATCTAATTAATCACACACGTTTTCTGTGATTAATCGCAATTAATTTCACACTTCATGAAATTAAGCATAGACCATTTATCTTGATTCAAATGTTTATTTTGTCATAATAAGCTTTTTTCAAGATAAATTTAGATGTCTTTCCAAAAAATTACACTTAGAAACTCCAAAAGAACACCAAAGAACCAAATGATATAAGGAGCCCATATAAGCACATATGAAAGAAAACAAAATCAGAATTTTATAGTATGTGTACAGTGCAACAGCAAAGAGCTTCTTTACATTTTAGAGAAGTCAAGTTGCGATACCGAACAGGACCACATGGAGATGCCAAAAAATCCCTAAACCAACCTCCTGCTTACTGCATATATCTACTACTGTACACGGATCCATTCCGTATAACTAAACACAGCAACATAAACATGACAAATCAAAACATTATCGTGAATGTGTGTGGAAACAATGTGAATGTTCAGAAATGTCTGTGCCTGTGCACAAATACAATGTGAGATCAGTGTGTCAAGAGCACTCATACACGCATTATTATAACTCATGCGTGCTTACTGTACGACTCCTGTACGCCACCGCAATCATCTTTACCTTGATTGCAGTCTTCATCCATCAAAACCTTTCTAGCGAGAGGTTATCCAGTCGAGAAAACGTAGTTTGCGTCTCATCTGGCCATACAGCGGTGGGATGTGTTGACAATCCATTCAGTCTGTACTTCACACAGCGCGACGTGTGAGGGCTCGCTGTCTTCAGAGACAATCACAGAATATGACAGAGCTTGTGTTTTAAAGCGAAACACACTGGAATGCATAATTCACTGAAAGCGCAATGCGAGTCTCTGTTTTCTCTGCAATCTCTGATGTAATCAGCCTGGTTTCCTTTATATTAACGCTGTTTTGGACAGATTGTTTGAATGCATTCGCTTACTGGATCATTGGAATGAAAACTTTGCCGGAGTTTAGTGGCTTAAAATGATCTGATCGCAAGCAGAGTAGCAAAATTGGGTTAAAGGGTTAGAATAGAAATTGTGCTTCAGTAATTTTGCGTTAACTGCGTTAAATTATTTTAATGCGTTAAGGATTGTAAAATTAATGGCATGTGTTAATGGCATGGCCTACTTTCTATACATCTCTTGTGTGAGACGTGAGTGCAGCAGTCGTATTTGTCCGTATAAAAAATGCACTGAATATTAGTGCTGGGCAGTATACCGGTTCATACCGAATAACGGTGTTTATTTTTGTTATGATATGAATTTTTAAAATACCGCAATACCGGTGCATGTCGTTAAAACAAAGTTCGGAACCCGACACTGTTTGAAAGAGGTCCCTTTTCACCGTCGCACTGTGGTGAGGGAACAGCTGTATGTGTTACTAAGTGTGAAAGTTCCGAAACTGAAGCTGTAGAGCTAATAGAACGTGATGACACAGAAGAATATATATATATATATATATATATATATACAGTATATATACAGTATATATTAGGGCTGTCAATAGATTAAAATGTTTAATCTAATTAATCACACACGTTTTCTGTGATTAATCGCAATTAATTTCACACTTCATGAAATTAAGCATAGACCATTTATCTTGATTCAAATGTTTATTTTGTCATAATAAGCTTTTTTCAAGATAAATTTAGATGTCTTTCCAAAAAATTACACTTAGAAACTCCAAAAGAACACCAAAGAACATAAGGAGCTAAGGAGCCCATATAAGCACATATGAAAGAAAACAAAATCAGAATTTTATAGTATGTGTACAGTGCAACACTTCTTTACACTAAACCAACCTCCTGCTTACTGCATATATCTACTACTGTACACGGATCCATTCCGTATAACTAAACACAGCAACATAAACATGACAAATCAAAACATTATCGTGAATGTGTGTGGAAACAATGTGAATGTTCAGAAATGTCTGTGCCTGTGCACAAATACAATGTGAGATCAGTGTGTCAAGAGCACTCATACACGCATTATTATAACTCATGCGTGCTTACTGTACGACTCCTGTACGCCACCGCAATCATCTTTACCTTGATTGCAGTCTTCATCCATCAAAACCTTTCTAGCGAGAGGTTATCCAGTCGAGAAAACGTAGTTTGCGTCTCATCTGGCCATACAGCGGTGGGATGTGTTGACAATCCATTCAGTCTGTACTTCACACAGCGCGACGTGTGAGGGCTCGCTGTCTTCAGAGACAATCACAGAATATGACAGAGCTTGTGTTTTAAAGCGAAACACACTGGAATGCATAATTCACTGAAAGCGCAATGCGAGTCTCTGTTTTCTCTGCAATCTCTGATGTAATCAGCCTGGTTTCCTTTATATTAACGCTGTTTTGGACAGATTGTTTGAATGCATTCGCTTACTGGATCATTGGAATGAAAACTTTGCCGGAGTTTAGTGAGCTGAAGGCCACTGTCAAAGAAACCTGGGCTTCCATACCACCTCAGCAGTGCCACAAACTGATCACCTCCATGCCACGCCAAATTGAGGCAGTAATTAAAGCAAAAGGAGCCCCTACCAAGTATTGAGTACATGTACAGTAAATGAACATACTTTCCAGAAGGCCAACAATTCCCTAAAAATGTTTTTTTTATTGGTCTTATGAAGTATTCTAATTTGTTGATATCGTGAATTGGTGGGTTTTTGTTAAATGTGAGCCAAAATCATCACAATTAAAAGAACTAAAGACTTAAACTACTTCAGTCTGTGTGCATTGAATTTATTTAATACACGAGTTTCACAAATTGAGTTGAATTACTGAAATAAATAAACTTTTCCATGACATTCTAATTTATTGAGATGCACCTGTATGTATATATATATATACAGTATATATATAAAAAGGTTGAGTTTTCAACTCACCATCGCAGAGGAATGCCAAAACGTTCAAAAGAGGCTGGGCCACTTTTCCTGAAACAGCTATAACTTTTCATCAGAAAGAGATATTTACACCAAACTCGATGTGCGTCTATGTGGTGCTATGATAGGCCAAACACATAAAACTGGCTATAACTATGCATTCGTTAGATCGATTGACTTGAAAAATCGCATGAATTGTCTATGTACAATGTGCCATGGCTTTCTATCAGCACATTCTGGTATCTTGTTAAACATGGCCACCATTGGCCAATGAAATTTGAGCACCTGTTAGAGTTAAAGGAGGCCGATCAGAACGAAAAACATAACACAGCACCATTTTAAGTGAGCAGTGCGTCAAAACAGCGCAGCGGATCACATAACAAGTGGTCAGGTCAGGCTCAGGGTCGTTTATGGTAAATATCTTTCAGCGCTATATCCTCTAGTATTTTTATCAAAAGCCAAACACGCTTTATTCGAGCCCTTTCAGCTCCGTGCGCTTTCTCTCCGGACACGCGCCGGTGTACCGACAAAACCTACTGACGTTACCTATCAGATTGTGCTACCAAAAATATATTTGCATTGTTTTAAGGGTAAGGGTAGGTGTGGATGGGTAGGTTTAGGGTTGGGGTAGGTATGGACATTAAAAAAATCCTCAAACCACATGAATGTATGTAGCATTTTTCACTATCGATTTGTGTTACCTATCTTTTTAATGGGAGGTAGCACAATCTGAGTGGGTAGCACAAATTGTCAGAACACCGGCACCAAGTTTAGAGCTGCGGGTGACACAGTTATTTTAACAACAACAGAAACAACAAAACATAGCAGAAAACAACAATGCTGCAAATATAGTTATTTTTCATACTATCTATTTATCTATCTGTAACCTATGACACTGACTGTTCAAACCAGATGTGGCGAAGTTTCTGATCTACATTTAGCATTATTAATCTGTAGGCTAAGAACATTTCAAAAGAATCATGTAATTATAATTGGGAAAATTGTTGTTAGATGGCTAAGATAAAACTTAAACTTTGAAATTGCTAAACTGCTTATCTTTCTTTTCTGCTCAAGATAATAACGTTTTGATTATTGTAGCTACATTGTTTTTAGATAATGCTTTTAAGTAGGCTAAAGTATTAACATAGAATAGATTTGAGATTTTTTGGAAAACCCCAACAGATATAGTGTTTTTTTCTGTTACATGGTCTCGAATGTATCTAAATGTAAATATGCTATACATGTAAAAAAAAAAAAAAAAAAAAAATGTTGTTGTTCGGACCTCTGCTTGGAAGAAAATATAGAGGCCGCACCTTGGAACTTTAATTGAATACCCCTGACTTATATAATAAAGAAATACTTTATTTGTATGGTTTTGTAATATCTGTGTCACATATTTCCTTGTGTGTCATGGTAGATCGGACTCCTATTATAGAATTTCATTACAGAAAATCTGTAATGAAATCTATAAATAACGTCTCTAGGTTACGTATGTAACCATGGTTCCCCGAGGGAACGAGACAGTTAAGAGTCAGCCACGCCTACCTAAAACACCTCATTCTAACACGCCCCCACATGTCTACCTCACTATGTGGGAAGATTTGCATAATTGCATATCCCGGCCTCAGCACACGCTAAGCCGGGGCTTCCCCTCACGGTAGGCCGCTGTGTTTTTCGTTGCCACTGACGATTCAAACGTGAGTTTTGAGCAGTGTAGAGTAGCACTTGTTGTTGGTCATTTCTCCGATCACAAATGCAGACATGGTTTTATGTTTAAAAAGACAGTATAAGTCATTATAATCTGTAATTATGTCCCCACTGGATGCAACAAATGCCTAGTTTATAATGAGTTTTATTGTTTTTGTCTCATCGCACCTGGACACGGCATCACAGTATGGTAAGGGACATAACATTTCCGTCACACACTTGAGGTATTCGGCCAATCACAACGCACTGGATAGCTGGCCAATCAGAGCACACCTTGCTTTTCAGAACGATGAGCTTTGTAAAAATCGACGTGTTTCAGAAAGGCGGGGCATAGAGGAGAAACAATAATGTACAGTATGTGGAAAATAGTGTTTTTTTTTACCTTAAACTGCATAAACACATTTAATTACACCAAATACACAAAATAATGTTCTTTTTAGCAACATCATATGACCCCTTTAACACCTCTTTTTTTTTTTACAAAGCAGATCATAGAATATATATTTTGTCTATAGCCTATAAAACAGCTTCGTAAGTAGGAAGATTTCAATACATGAGGATTCTGAATGAGAATATATATATACTGTATATATATTTTTTATTATTATTATTTTTTATAATTATAATTGTATTTACAGCTTAAATTCATGTAATTTTTTAACTTCATGATAATGATTTCATGTTATTTGTGTGCTGAACTAAATCCATGAGAGTAGCATATAGGGCTGCACAATTTGAGGGGGAAACTTTTTTTCATGTATATGTATATATATATATATATATATATATATATAAAACGTTATTTTTACATTCTAAATTGCTAAATTGTCACAATTTTTATTAAAAAGATTTTCCCCCTCAAATTGTGCAGCCCTATATGCTACTCTCATGGATTTAGTTCAGCACAGAAATAACATGAAATCATTATCATGAAGTAAAAAATGTACATGAATTTAAGCTGTAAATACAATTATAATAGTTAATGTTTTGGAACATTTATCCCATGATATGCTGCATTTTAATGCAATGGCAGTGAGGATTGCTTGCGATAATTCTGTTTTGTATTGTGTTCTAAATTGCAGAAATCGCATTCTATCTGCAAAGAAAATATTTTTTATCTGAATAATGATCAACAATGCAAACTTGACTTAGAAAATACACTACCAGACTCATTCGGTCATCAAACTGTATATTGGCAGGTTTAAATGTAGCTCTGAATGCACAATACTGTGCAAGCATTGCTGCACACAGGTGTGATATTTGAGTCGTGTGCAAGAATTTGCTCATCCCGTCCGATTTAAGACCTAGTTGCACCAGTCTCTGCTTACCCTACATACAAAAAATAGCTTGAATCAGCCTAACCACCCATCATGCCACTGTTCCCACCACTTTTTATGACAAAGCTACTCCACTGTACATAGCAACCAATGCCTTAGCAACCACCAAGAACATTTTAGCCAGCAATGCCCTGGCATCCACAACATTCCTGTATTCTGTGCCATCAACACTCAAAAATGTGATCATCTAGTCTTTGTCTGTTGGGTCCTCAGCTGTACAGTCACATATGGAAATATTCTTTTATCTGGAGAGAGTTTCTTACTCGGGATTGCTAACAATATTTGGATCTCTAAACTCTCTGTAGATAATTCATAGAGAGTGTGATTCAGTATGACAAAACACACAGTACTCATGTGCCTTGAGCGTCTTTTATTACTCAGGCTGGTGTAATCCGCTAATTTCCTCCATTGGAGACTTTTATCTGATTTATCAATGTCTTCCTCTTTCTGTCCCTCTGATTCTCCTTTATCTGCTGTAGTCAATAAAGGGCTCGCCCCTGTCATCAGCGTAACAAGGCTGATTACCTGCTATTAGATCGCATTAAGGGCTGTCTGTATGGCGACACAGTCGTCCCACATTCCACCTGCCTGTCAACACCCCAGCCCATCTCTCAGAGTCTCTCTAGTCTGCCTGACGGCAAAAGGGTGGGCTGGAGATGCTGCAGGCAAGACTTAAAGTTACTCCCTGTGAACAGAGATTTTTATGTGTGTGTGCGTACACACACATAAAAATCTCTGTTTACGGGGAGTAACTTTCCATTCATGAGCCATGTGGCAAAATGCACTTCACAACCCATGCAACAACAAAAAAGATGAAAAAAAAAGCATGCACTCACAGAAATTCCATTTAAATGTTTATGGCTTGTTTGTATGTAGATCGAATTTTAGATGTGGCTAGAAAAATGAAGTGGATGGTAGGGAGTGTTTTTGGCTCATTGAATAAAAACATCAGATGATTGCAAACAAAGAATGAGAAAGTATTAAAAATAAATAAGACAATATACTAAGGTGAATATAAATGAATAAAAATTAATTAAGAGGCGCTACTCATAAAGTTTGAGAGTTTTAAACATTTCTTGTTGCTTTGTACTCTAGTAATTAGTGTGAAAGTGTGAAAATCATAAACTTCACATCAACCACAACACAAAACTCTCAAGCAGGAACTTGTTTATTCACTTTCAACTGGTGAATTCTTATATTTGCAAGGCTCAGTTTGTATATGTTTTTCAGGGCTGGGAGGAAAGCGTGGATGCAGCCGTCTCCCACCTCTTAAAATCGTGTCTGTCACGCAGCCCCAAAGATCAGGCCATCAGCTTGAGCACCGGCCCACTAACCATCCCAAAAGACATGTCACGTCTGAAGAAACACATCACGCTGCTCTGTGACCGCTTGGGCAAGGGTGGCCGTCTCTCACTCACCTCAGAAGCCAATGTCCCTACAACTGTCATGATGCCAGGTCAGAAATATCTTACTTTGGAAGCTTTCATGCATAGAGGGGTCATTTGAAGGGGCTTCGTTGTAAAACTTAAACCAATATGTTGGGCTGGAGCTAATGGCATTATTTGGAGCCCAATATAGAACCTTGGGGTACTCCATAGGCAATGCACACAGAGATAAAAGATAAATAGTTCCCACTATTTAACAGCCATGGTTCTATATTTAAGACCACTTTAAAGCTTTACTACTCATGCCATACCAAGGTATTAATAATACTTCCTATGTTGTAGTGGTACAGCTCGCCCTCTGACTCCCACAATTTTTGGATAACAGCTTTGATAAATAAGATTGTAACGAGGTTACAGCTCCAGATATGAACATGCTAGCAAGCTTTCATTCATCTTGTAGAATAAATTACATTTGTATTATAAACAGGGCTGTCGGATTTTTTATTTTTTATGGTGATTAACCAACTTTGATGCGTTTTTGACAGTTCACTCCAAAAAAAAAATCTGCATGTTCAAAATACTTTTTTTAAATGTGACAGCTCACATTTTTATGTGCACACTCGCATTCAAAGCTGCTGGATTGTGTGAATGTACTTGTGTAAGTTTGTGTAGCTAAAAGACTCTGCGTTCATATTATCTAATAAAAATATCCAAAACAAAATCTCAAGATTGGATAAAGACCAGTTTAAAATTATGATTTCATTCTGTTGAAATTAGAATCAAAGTTTTTTTTTTACAAAGGAGATTTTTGATATCTCTTTTTTTATCACTCCATAAATTAAAAAATATTGTCAACAGTCAATTTCACCATATTTTAGGAATAAAATCTTATATAATTCAGTCTAATGAGATATGAACAAACCTTCAGAATATATATTGGAATAAAACTGGACATTTTGGTGTACTACTGAAGTGGAGATTTCTGGCTCAGTGCATGAGAAAAACTCATTTCGAGGAAGCTGTCTGTAAACATATGTATTGTAACTGAAAACTACAGACACAAATAGATAAAGTGTATTTAAATAATAATTTAATGTGTATTCTGGATGTTCTCTTTTCACTAGTCTGAAAGAAAACATGCTACAGAAGCATGAAAAAAAAACTTGACCAGTGCAGTGAAAAACAGCCTTTCACCAAAGTGTAAAAATGTAAAAGTCTTGTTTTGTCTTTCATTTTGGTAGTAAATTATATTTGAAGACTTCTCATGTTACACTAATGCTATTGTAGTGACGTGCAGGGGTAATAAGGATAGAAAGAATAGAGCTTTACTTCAGAGGACACATAAAACGCCAGAGATCCCTGAGGAATGTGTGAATGATTAACTCGATGGGTTCTGTTATCAGACGCCTGTCCTCCCTGAAGTCTCGGACTGTCTGTCTCTCTCCCTCTCTGTTGTTTGGACACTGGGTGTGTAGATATTATCCTCCCCTCAGATGGCAGAATGTCTGAGCACACAGCGTTTGGTCAGTTGCCAGTCGTGTGGAGGAGAATGAGTGACTAATCTCTGAGAATCCTGCTTAAATTGCTTTTGTCTGATGAAATATGTCTGCAGGACGTGTTGCTCCATTCCTTCAAGTTTAAAGTCAAGCTCTTGACACTCTCTCATACACACACTTGTGACCTGGCTGTTTTATCTGTCTGATTTGTGTCTTCCTGTCTGCCTTCCCCTCTGTGAGTCCTGTTCTCCCTCACCTGACCTTGCGTTGAAGTGATGACATCACACGGAAGGAATGCCACAGTCCCTGAGCACCTGCCTCTGAGCTAATGCATCAGCATTCGTAATTCTCATATCAGAGGGACCTTGTGTTTTTTTTCTTTCGTTCTTTAAGATCTTCTTTTGAATGAACCACTGGAGGTCACGGTTCGTTCATGGAGGAGTCAGTGTTTGGCTCACTTGCACCGTGGACAAAGCGGAGTCCAGCACGGGGTCGTCACATGTGGTTGCCGCAAGACCGCCGGATGCTCCTTTGTCAAATCCGCCGGCCGCGCCATTCTCAAGCCCACCCGCCACCGCTCACTCTAGCCCACCATGTGTTTCGTTGTGAAAGCAAAACGACTTTGTTTGGCCTTCCAAAAGAGGGCACGACTAGAAATCAGTGGTTAAGTTGTATTTACAACACTGTTCCAGAACAGTTCAACCCAAATATTCAGATGTGTGCAGCGCATTTTATGGAGGACTGTTTCCTGATCCTGGTAGAGTAGACTACAATGCCCGGCTGTTCTGACTCACAGACTGTAAGTAAGTTTTTATATTTAAAGAATTTGCCACTGATGATTCAAACGTGAGTTTTGAGCAGTGTAGAGTAGCACTTGTTGTTTGTAATTTCTCCGATCACAAATGCAGACATGGTTTTATGTTTATGCGGCGCGATGCAACGCAACACGTAAAAAGACAGTATAAGTCATTATAATCCGTAATTATGTCCCCACTGGATGCAACAAATGCCTCGTTTATAATGGGTTTTAATGTTTTTGTCTCGTCGCTCCGGCCAGACGGTAAGTATATACCACAATATGGTAAGGGGCGTAACATTTCCATCACACGCTTGAGGTATTCGGCCAATCACAACGCACTGGATAGCTGGCCAATCAGAGGACACCTCGCTTTTCAGAACGATGAGCTTTGTAAAAATCTTTCAAAACGTGTTTCAGAAAGGCGGGGCATAGAGGAGAAACAATAATGTACAGTATGTGGAAAATAATGTGTTTTTTAACTTTAAACCACATAAACACATTTCATTACACCAAATACACAAAATAATGTTATTTTTTAGCAACATCATATAATCCCTTTAAAGTCAAGCCATATTTAAAGATTTGTTTAAAGGAATTTTATGGAAGTTTTTTTCTTGACAAAATTAAAATGATAAATCAAATACTGGTAACACTTTATTTCAAGGTGTCCTTGTTACACATATTACATGTACTTACTATTATAATAACAATTAATTATGCATAATTACATGCAAGTGACCCTAACCATATAGTAAGTACATGCACTTAATTAATATTACTCAGTACTTAAATGTATAATTACACTGTAACAAGGACACCTTAAAATAAAGTGTAACCCAAATACTCAAATGAAATACAGTTTGTGTTTTTATATTTCGTTTTGTTATCACTTCATTATTACTCCTTCCTTAATTAAAACTGTATGTAAAGCTTCAAATGATAATTGACACATTTTTAAACCATGCATCAATCAATAGCTATGAGCAGAGCTTATGGGCAGACTAGCCAGTGCAATGGAGCAACAAATCATTATAGGTAACACAGTAAGCTAAATTAAGGCATTTTTAATCAGCGTTGTAATAAACCTATTCATTGTAATGATTATATATTATATCTTATATTGTATGTGCATCTCGTCTAATTAGTTGATTGAAATATTCCAGGCACATTAACATGGGGTTTACCTACTTTCAGCACTCACTACAATATCCTGACTATTTCTGGAGGAAATGTCATCTTCAATGACAAGAACTATTCAATGACAAACTAATTTATAATTGCCCCTAAAAGTCCCTAAACAGGACTCCATTCTCAAATATAAAACCCAGTGGCACAAATGAGAGGAGAGAATAGGCTTTTTTAAAGTGAATCTTTTAGCTAAAACAATTCTACCTTTTCTGTTTCTTGCTTCTCTCATGAACTAAAACAATAAAGGGAGCCACAGTTAGTTACAAGCTGAGACCAGACACTATTGAGTTGCTTGTATCCGGTTTTGTTTTTGCAACATTTGAAAGCATTCTACGTGTTTAGTTGTTACAGGTAAGTGCCGATCACAGACAAACCCTCCTGCTGTAAGGCTGCAGTACATTCACACAAATACCTCCGTCTCTGATCTGAAATATTACTCCTAAACGAACAGCCTGTTAAGGTCTGTGTAAATATTAGAGGAGGATTATGATAAGCTTTTCTCAGGAAAGTAAGCAGTCTCACTAGATTTGTCTATTTGGGGTATGCGGTGTTGGTGTAAAAAAAAGAGGAAAAGGATTGTGGGTAAGAGGCTGAACCAAGAGACATAAGAGGCTGATTCATCAGTCCCCTTCAAAACTCCTAATTCTGGCTGATCCTCAGCAGTGAGTGTCAAATCCATCTGATGGAGTCCAGCAGGTGTACTCTGATCTGCCAGCAGTTTGGAGACATTTTAAATGTCACCAGTGTGTCAACACTGCTTTTCTATTACACAAAGCACAAAGCATAATTTTACGTAACTGCTCAATGTGTAGAATGTAACCCTGTAAACCCTAACTTATGAAATAATAGTCCAAAAAATTACAAAAATAGTTTGTAATGTAAATCAATTAAATTTGTATAACAGTATAGTAGACTGCTTGCATTAAATGCATAAATATCAGTTGTTACTGTATATCTCTCAATAAAACGTGTTAATAAGATTATATTTAAATACTTAGTTTTATGATCAGAGCTCTGTAGTTTTCCAATGTAATATCATGGTGATTAAGAGATGTACAATAAATTTCCTCAAAAGCTTGATGTATCAAGATTTTAGAGCAAAAATGTAAATATTAGAGGAGGATTATGATAAGCTTTTCTCAGGAAAGTAAGCAGTCTCACTAGATTTGTCTATTTGGGGTATGCGGTGTTGGTGTAAAAAAAAGAGGAAAAGGATTGTGGGTAAGAGGCTGAACCAAGAGACATAAGAGGCTGATTCATCAGTCCCCTTCAAAACTCCTAATTCTGGCTGATCCTCAGCAGTGAGTGTCAAATCCATCTGATGGAGTCCAGCAGGTGTACTCTGATCTGCCAGCAGTTTGGAGACATTTTAAATGTCACCAGTGTGTCAACACTGCTTTTCTATTACACAAAGCACAAAGCATAATTTTACGTAACTGCTCAATGTGTAGAATGTAACCCTGTAAACCCTAACTTATGAAATAATAGTCCAAAAATCTTTTTTTTTGTTTTGTTTTATTAAAATAAAATATTTTATTGAACCAACAATTAAAAAATAATGCATGTGTTTTATGTTTTGTATCATATTTGATAAATAAGGTGTTTATGGTATAGGGAGCTCATACTTGAAGAGGGAAAAAACACATTTTATTCAGAAGTCCAAATTGCGCAACATGAACAATTTGGTGCATATGTTGTTATTTATATGGCCAAAAGTAAGATGAATTTCTGATTGTTTGTAATGTAAATCAATTAAATTTGTATAACAGTATAGTAGACTGCTTGCATTAAATGCATAAATATCAGTTGTTACTGTATATCTCTCAATAAAACGTGTTAATAAGATTATATTTAAATACTTAGTTTTATGATCAGAGCTCTGTAGTTTTCCAATGTAATATCATGGTGATTAAGAGATGTACAATAAATTTCCTCAAAAGCTTGATGTATCAAGATTTTAGAGCAAAAACACACATACCACAACCTAAAGGCGGACAGTTTTAGAATTATGCTAAACTTTTGTTTACTAAAACAGCCTACTAAAAAGTTTTGATCATGCTGATCATTTAAAATTCATGCATCAAACAGGATACAGTAGGCTTTATTGGGTTAAGTGGAGTACGGAGTTATACTCTAACCAGTAACTTATTATTAATGATGAGTATTTGCATGTTGTTTTGCAGTTGGATGTGAGTCTATTCCTGAGCCGATAGTTGAGCAGGAGGAAGAACCACCGCTGCAGCAGGACGCCGCCAAGTACATTAAAAAGAAACAGCCATCCAAGAGAATCAAGAGCAAGTCAGGTAAGACATGCGGCAGTTCCAACACCTAAGAAAGCCTCACTACTGCACTGATTTAACAAGGCTGAAAAGCTGCAAATTGATAGAAAATCTCTAGATAACCAAGTCGTTGTGAAAAGATTGTGAACAAGTACATTTAGAGTCAGGTTTTGTGATATGTGAGGACACACTGTTTTGTGCATGTTTGTGTTCATACATGTTTAAGCAGGTCTGCAGCACGTGCCTTCATTTGTATAATCCAGAACTGCAGACATTGTTAATGAGCTGAAGATTTGTGAAATGTACACAGAGAAGACCAATAAACACTCAAAAAGCTTTACATTCTACATTTTCTAATTGCCAAAATACAGAAACTCAAATTTATGTAAAAATGAAAGAACGAAAAGAAACATCATTCAAAACAAGTAGACTGCATGTCCTTTGGTAAGCTTAAACAAATCTCATTAGTGTTGGAATGTGTGAAATGGGTAGTTATTATTGACTAGTTCTTTGTAATTACTTTGAACTGTTTAAATTGCTGATGAGCTTTACTAAGATGTTTAATCCCATCAGGGTCCCCAACGACCAACTGAATAAAACGTTGCCAGATTTACATTCAATAATAGTTTTGAATAAAACAGTACAATCTTTTAGTGGTACTCAATGGACATTTCATTTCCCAATGTCACATGCAAGAAGCAATGTAATATCATTTTGTAGAAGTGTCATCACAGGCACATTTTTCTGATGAGCCTGTGTTGTTCATTTTATTTACTACAGTTACTGTTACCTATTTCCCAGACATTTAGTGTTTAGATTTCCATGGATCCTCAGTAGTGCACCCCAAATATTGGCGAAAGCCTGAATGCTCATTGGTTGGTTGTTGCTTTTGTCTTTGAAGAGGCAGATCTGCTCAGACATGTACCTCAGTCGCCAGCTCTCTTCTGTCTGAGTTATTAAACATGTACCATTTCCCCTAACAACAAAGAAATATTTAGACAGAGGAAGCCATTAAACAGGAACAGTGAGGAAGGATATCTGATACAGTTGAAAGGATTCAAACATAATCTCTGATGTTAATTGAAACAGAAGCCAGTCTTTCATGTGTCTCTCATCTCTTTTAATACAAATTCAGAGTTCACATGTCCTCTGTGTATCTCACATCAGATCACCAGCTAGAATCTGGAGTAATACTATATATTTATAAACATGGATTGTTGGCTATTAAACACCCTAAATTCAGATCCATGTAATTCTAGCAGTGGCTTAAGGGCTGGCAGTACAGTCGAGGTAACCGCACTGGGGCCCTCCAATATTTTGGAAGTTTTATGATTGCAATGACAGATAAAACAGCATACCTCGCTGCACAAACTTAACAAAATGTATTGTAATTATAGTATTTATTGTAATTCTTATGCACTATGCATTCAATTAACTCATTCGTTTATCCTAAATGTAGCTTCATTGAATAAAATGCAGCCTAACAACTATAAATAAAAACTGTCAGTTGTATCATTTCAGGGGATGAAAATGAACCTTAAAGACTGTATTTGTTGCATTTTGCAGTATAGCCACTTTTTACATTTTCTTTTGTTTCTACATACTATATATATATATATATATATATATATATATATATTTTTTTTTTTTACTGAAAAGGCAACAAACAAAAATAAAAATAACTGGCTGGTTAAATAGTGTCTGAAGTTGAAATGTTATAATAATTGTTAGCCAGCAATGTAAATTATTGTTTAAAACGTTATCAGGAACAATATTATTTAGAGTATATAGATATACAATATAGAGGAAATATATAGAGGATAAATATAATAAAATGTAGAGAAATGAAATGAAAAAAAATCTAATTTTTTTATCAACTTGCAATTCAGGGCTTCTGTATGAAGCATGTTAGATGTCAGATCTCTGCATAAAACACAGTTTCTTTTTTTGAAGCATTACTGTTAGTAACAGAGATATATGCTCAATGAGTAAGATAGGGAGACAAAAACAGTAACACCTTTTATGCTGTTCATAGACTGAACTTCTGATATGAACTGCACAGAAATCACCAGTTTCATATTTAATTACTCATTAAGGATAGTCTCTTAAATTGGTACCCCATGTTAAACAATAGAATAATTTATAAAGTTAGTGTCACTCCCTGTGGTTTTGACATCAAAACCATAAAATGAACAAATAACTGTGTAAAACATTGCCATAGATCATGATCATCAGTAAATTTCTCTTGCAGAAAAATCACTTGTATCCCCCAACCCCAAGTTATATACTGTATATGAATTTCACTTAAATACGAACTATGATTGGTCACACTATATTCATGTCAAAGTGTGCAGTTTTTGTCCATAACAAACTCCAGAGTGAAATGACTTCATGCCAGCAGTCAATATTCTGAGTGAGCCTAGGTAAATCGAAACCACCCTACTGAGAGAACTCCCCGCTGAGTTAATGGCTCTTTTCATAGCCTCTGGCAATTGTTTAATTCAAGGGTGTCAAACACTACTACCGTACAATAGGGTTGGGTATCGTTTGGGTTTTTTTCAATACCGGTGCCAAATCGATACTTTTAAAACGGTTCCGGTGCCTAAACGGTACCTGAACCGATACTTACCGTATTGGCCCGAATATAAGACGACCCTGATTATAAGACGACCCCCCTTTTTCCAGATGTACCTTTTGGAAAAAGGCTTTTTAAAAACCAAATCTTGTTTTATCTCAGTAACACACATTTTGTCTTCAATTATTTTCATATTGCATATTTTTCCTATTTTAATTTTAGTTTTGAAAGTATGGTAAAAACTGGTAAACTGTACCAACAATCACATTTAAAAAATATACACTTTTTGATATACCATAAAAAATAAAAAAAAACAGGTAGCCCATCTGAATTAGGACATTTAGGCTATCCATCTAATAGTAGCCTACCAAAATCTTACTGTAGTCTTCAAATCTGGGTACTGTCTTACGTTATAACATCACAAAGGGAGTTTGGTCGCGATCTTTACAACACGCATTTACGTATTTCATGGCACACTC